CTATTTTTTTTTTTTTTTTGCTACAGTTGTCATTGTTGTTTTAGCAGGCCCGGGCTGGGTTCGAACCTGCCAGCCTCGGTGTATGTGGCTGGTGCCATAACCACTGTTCTACCAGTGCCACTTCTTTGCATATTTTTTCACCAGAACAAATTTTTTTTTTTTGAGATAGTCTTACTATGTTGCCCTTGGTAGAGTGCTGTGGGATCATAGCTCACAGCAACCTCAAACTCTTGGGCTTAAGCGATTCTCTTGCCTCAGCCTCCCAAGTAGCTCAGACTACAGGAGGCTGCCACAATGCCCGGCTATTGTTTTGCTCTAGTTGTCACTGTTGTTTGGCAGGCCTGGGCTGGGTTCGAACCTGCCAGTTCTGGTGTACGTGGCTGGCGCCCTAGCCACTGAACTACAGGTGCTCAGCCAGAACTAATTCTTATAAAATGAAATATACATGTGCTTTTGTTGCACATCTGGTTTTCCCCTTATTTCACAGAAATAGTCCCACTTTGTCCAACATATTTTTCAGTGAATCACAATAAAAATAACATTTACTTCTAATATTTAAAAAATAAATCAGGATAGGGCAAGAGCTATTGGGAGTGTTCTCTTTATTTCTCTTTGGTTTCTTAACACAAAAGACATGCATTCTATAAATAAGAAGAAATAAGATTTTCTGGGAAACAATAAATTGGGGGGGGGGAATTCCCACCTAGTCACATCTCTGTGGTCAAGAGGCTGGTCTTCAGTTCCCATCTGGCTGTGATCTCAGATGAAATCCAGAAGAGTAGACTGTGCGCATATTCAAGGTTTAACATTCAAGGACGTGTACATCATAGTCCTCTGTTCAGAGCAGGGCTAGAGCCCAGTGCCCAGTGAACACAACGTTTGTCCTATCTCCTTGTTACATCCTTTTCACTACATCCTTGGGTGATGTCTCTGGCTCTAACATCAAAAGAGCCAGACCAGCCATGTGCAAACAGCCATTTGCCATCAGACTGAGGAACGCACTCGGGAGTGTGTGAAAATGTTGACGTTTGCTCACTTGTGCTCAAGCCCAGATCAAAGCACTGGCTTGATCTTACTTGGCAACACTGACCTCAGGTGCAGCAGTGTAACTTCTACACCCCAAGGTAGGCGTGGACTCAGAAAGGCCATCATAAGAGCAGCAGACCATAGGAAAAACATCTATCATCCCTGGTAGCAAAATCTGGGCCAGCATCCTAAGGACCCAGTGTGGTCCAATTCTTAATAACCTTCACAATCCAGGCTCATCAGTGCTGGTTCAAATTCACAAATGGGCTTGCAACAATAAGAACAGTACTGATACAGTCCTCAGCAAATGCAGACCCTAACTTCCTTCCCAGTCTACCTCTGTAGGCAAACCAGGGAGGGAGAAATGCTGGAGCTCCACCACGAGCCCAAGTTATATCAAACATCAGATTGTTCAGTCTTTTAAAATAAAAATATCATTTTCAAGTGCTTATAGTAGAGGCCCAGCTCCTAAGTTGCAGGTAACAAAGGTACTTTCCTCTGAATACATGGCGATTGCACACACTGGTAAACCTGGTGGCTCTGGGATTGGGGAGATAACCCCAGGCTCCATGTTCTGCCTTTCTGAACAGGCTTCTAGACCCTCCAGGTAGGCAGCAAAGGACAGGAAACCAACCAGGTGGAGATTGGGACCCTAACACCCAGTCTAGGATTAAAGGAATTGTATCCTCTTTCAGTCTCTACTAGAAGAATTTTAGAAAACCAGATTTTGGCAGCAGCAGTTTAAGGACAGCCCCACTGCCCAGTGCACTGGTACAGAAAATGTCCTCCTCTTTGGGTCCCGCTGTGCTACATTAAGGTCCCATCCAGGAAGGAGAAAGGAATATGGAATCTCTTTAATAGGTCATTTGCCAAGATTAGAGGAAGAAATATAAAATCTGTTCTTTGCAGCAGCAAGAGATTCTTTTAGTCTTTAGTTCTTTGTGTCATAAAGCCAGAGCTTGAGTTGAATGTAAAGGTCCACCTTGCTGGTCAGTCTGCCAAGGGCTGGAGGGAGGCTGGACCCTGGAATTGGCAGATGGATGAGCAATGGAATGGCAGGGCAGACAGACAAGGTTATCAGACCAAGCTGGCCCATGGCTGGTAGGAAGAAGCCCCTGGTTAGGTTCTAGAGGTGTAGATGTGCCCCAGAAGCATCACAATGAAGAAAATCATCCAAGAAAAATAGATGGGCAAGTGAAATTCTGGCCAGACCTGCTGTTTCTTGCTGGTCAAAAAAGGAAGGAATGTGAGAGTGGGGAATCTGAGTGCTGCAGTGGCGGTGGGAGGTAAATCACAGGGGCACCTGGAGCCCCTAGCAACAGGTGGGAGCTCCCACCTAGAAGAGTGGCGGTAAATTCAGTCAATAGCTGACTTGCTATAAGATGATTTAAAAAGTCCTCTGATGGTGGGTATGAAGACAAACCCCATAAGCACCTTACTACAGGACCAGTCATGGATACACTGATTCCAGACACGCTGGGGTTCAGGGGGAACCCCAGTGCTGTGCGAGGCCTCAGGACCCTGGGATCCGAATGTGGAGTGGACACCATCCTTCTCATATCGGACGGTTTTCCATTTAAACATACATTGGTTTTTTGTTTTCTTCTTCCTGAAAAATATGTTCACATAAAATAAAAGTATTTTTCTTTCCAGTTTTTTTCAAGTGCTTCTTTGTTTATATTTTCTGCAGTTTCTTTCAAGTATCTTTTTTTCCCTTCTGTTTCTCCTAGACAAGATGAAAAAGAGCTCCAGGAAATCCCAAAATAAGACATGGGAAAAACTCCTGTTCTTCTCGGTTATCAGGGATAAGAACGAAATCCTTTGTGCCCTACAATGGAAGATGGAACATGTTCGTGTATAGCCAGCACATTGCTATAGCTGCATCATCACAGGCAGTAAGAATATTTGGAGTGTGTCCTCTCTCTCAGCTATACCCCACAGTTTCCAACAGGCTTGGCCACTGCAGCCTCCCCATGACAAACTGGCCATGATATGGGTGGAAAATAAACAGGCAAGGAGGTGCATCAGATGGGAGGCTTTCTGCAAATAGGTGGCCCAGAGCCACAGTGGGTGGGAACTGGGCTTGGATGGAGTGTTTGTGTGGACCAGCAAAACAGTTCCGTATCACCATGTGAGGGACCCAGAGGGGCTTTTGTCCTGTGCTGTGAATCTTGATGACTCAGGCCTGAAGATCAGTGAGGGAGGACTTAAGCACCTAGAAAAACTGAATGTCTGGCAAGTTCACATTTCACCCTGTCTTCTGATCCACCATCTCTCCTGAGAGGGACTGTTCCTGGAAGGAAATGCCTAAGTCTGTACCAGATCCCTACCCCACCACATCCCACCCTCTGCCTTAGATGGTGAGGAGAGGGATGCAGCCCACGCCAACCCCTCCCTCATGGCATGCCATAGGGGCCATAAATGTCCAGCGGTCCGTCTCTGGGTCATACATCTCGACTGAGCTCAGGTTTGACTGTCCATCATAACCCCCCACAGCATAGAGGCGCCCACAGCTGGCCACAAGGGAGACCCGGCTCCGGCGTGTGTGCATGGGTACTATCAGGCACCACTGGTCTGCCACAGAGCTGTACATCTCGGCAATGCTGAGGAAGCCAGAGCCATCGTAGCCTCCACAGACAAACATCTTGCTTCCCAGGGAGGCAGCTCCGTGCCGGCAGCGCTTGTTGAGCATGCTGGCTGCTGGGTGCCAGGTGGCTGTGTGGTGGTTGTAGTGCTCTACCTGCAGCAGGGAGAGAGGCACAGGTACAGGACGGTCAGAGTCACAGTTCTTAGTCCATGGGGTGACCCTGAAAGTGACCCATATGATACTGGACTCCTATGGGAGGCCGGGGGATAAGAAATCTGCCAGAGTGTGCCCTGAGCGGCATGTCTGCTTTTGGCAGTGAAGGTCATCTCACTTGGGCCTTTCTGTTTGCACCTAAGGAAATAAATACAGGTTGTGACCAAGGATACACAACTCGGTAGTCACAGAGCTGGGATGAGAGCTGTATCTCCTGTAATCTATCTAGAGTGCTTTCCACTACAGCATGGATTAGCTCTGTTGAGGCTTTTTTAATAAACGCAACTGCAAACAAATTATCCAGATATATACAATTGTTTACAAATTCACACTTGGTCTACAATTGAGCTTACTCTGGGTGGGAATTTTATAAGCTCTAATGCTGCAATTGATGGACAGTTGAACTGGGTAGTACAGTGATAGCAGGGGGGACTGCACCTTAGCCTTTCTGTACCCTGGCTCCCATTCTCTGGAAGTTAAGAATTTCAGAAGATGCAGTAACAGATGGTCTGAAACCTCACTAGATGATGCTTTATCCAGCAATGGCAAGGCTGAAGTTTTTTCAAACAAATGTCTTTAAAAATAACTTTCAAAGATGGAAAGAGTAGGTGCCCTCAGCCCAGGAGGAGCCCAGACTCACACTGTTGAATATCTGCAAACCATCATGGCCGCCGGACACATATATCCTGCCCTCAAAGACTGTAACCCCAGCAGCACTGCGATTTGAGCTCATCGGGGTCACCACTGTCCACCTTCAGGAAAGAGTAAAAATAGGAAAGAGTAAAAATAGGAAGGGAGGCACGAGATTCAGTGTTCCTATCCTCCCAAGACAGCTCAGCAGGGCTTCAGTGAACTATGTTGGACACCTCCACACCTCTTATCACCTCGCCCACCACCTTTGCTGATGGTTCTCTGGCTGCTGTCTCTTGCCTGAGCTTCAAACCCACCTTCTCGGGTCAATTCCATGACCAGAGAGGCCTCTATCCTACAGTTCCACTCTTCCCTGTACTCCCTGGTCTTGTTAATGGAACCACCAGCTATCTAGTTGCTATACTTATAAAACTCAGTGTTTTTGTCTTCTTCTCTCTCACCCTCAACATTTTTGTGGTCCCCAAGTCCTAGTTCGTTTGCCTCCTAGTCATTGTTTATTCCCATCCCCACTACCACTGCCCTACCTCTGGCCTCTCACCTTGACCACTTCCATAGGTGGCTTGACTTTCAGATCATTCCCATCCCAATACTACACAGCCAAAGGGATTGGTCCTCCAACGGCTGCACTTGGTCCTCATGCTCCTTTTGGCTTCACCCCATACCACATGCGACCCATGCCTGCTCTGCCTCCATTTCACACTCTATGCTGTAGTCCTTGAGACGATCACTGTGTTCTTGACCACAGAGGGCAATTATGTGAGTCTCTCTTCCTGCTGTTTCCCTGCCTGTGAGCTGCATCTCCCACCAGCTACCCATGATAGGTGTTACCTTGGAAAGCATCCTTGCCATCCCACTTCTCTCCACTACCCTGGGGAAAATGCAGGCACTGCCCACTCTGTGCCCAAGAGCTCCTGACACAGGCCCCAGAGTAGGAGGATCATGATCCATCTGTGGCCCCACAATATCAGGTGCTCCTTAAAGGATCTCAGACACCCAGCTTTCTGCCCAATATATAGCGATTGGTTAAGTGAACAGAATTATTAGCTTAAGAGTACCTGAATGAGTCCTTTCAACTACTGCTTATACATTATTATGTAAGAGAAAATTCAAGTATTGAAAAGAGTAAATATTTTCCAAAGAATATTCCATAAAATAGTCCCAAAGATGGTGATAAGTATTATATAAAATATAGGGTTAAACAGGATTCTTTACTGCAGAATTTTTCAGAACATTTAAAATGTTAATACATATTATGGAATGACAAGGACTCTGGTAGTACAGATATCAACACTTTCCTAGGTTATTTGGGAAATCTAAATATCAAAATCATATCCTACCTAACTACTTTTGAACATGTAGTTCATCTACTTCTTATCCCTTTTCACCTGCATTCCCATTAAAATGGGGTGATTTAGCTAAGAGGTATGGACTATTAGATAAATATTTCAAAAAAATCTATGTAGACTATATGAACATTTTATTTAATCATTCATTCATTAAAGCAAAGGCTATTAAATACCTACTATATGCAAAATATTATAGAGGAAAAAAGGTTAAGACATCCTATACCACCAAGAAGCTTAAATAAAAATTGCAGTTCTCATTTTTATACTGTTTAATAAGATTCAGTTGCTCCAGGGGAGCTGGAGTGCTTACTTGTCTGTCTCAGGTGAGTAGGTCTCCACAGAGTTGAGGGAAGAGTTGCCATCGTAGCCCCCACAGACGTAGATCTGCCCATCCAGCACAACTGTCCCCATGGCACTGAAACAGACACAGCCATCATCCCAAGTGGGCCTCAGGCTTCTAGGAACATCCTTTCATGCTGAGAAATAAACCTCACTATCTCTTTCTGGAACAGACCCAGGTATGTGACTAAGAAAAGGCATAAAACTGAGGCAACAGAAGTTGCTCTGTGGTTCCTCCTGCTCTCAACTTCTCTTCTCTGGTCTATCTCCTCTTCTTACTCTCTCAGTCCTTGATCTGCCTGAAATGCTCACCTTCTATCTACTTCACCATACTAAGGATCTAATTTACTCTCTCCCTTCCTCTCTTTAGCAAGAAAATTATTGTCTTCCAGTGCCACAGCCCCAGAGTGGCTTCTCTTCTTTATTACAGCACTTGCATAGTCACATTCTTTCGTAAGATTTTTATCAGCCACTTGCAGGGTGTGCCATCCTAGGAACCACTTAAGAGTGGTAAACAAGAAAAGACCCTGTCCACACACCACTGATGTTCTGGCACCAGAGAGTACTAGGAGTCTACCTGCCACCTCTTAATAAGTGGGGACCTCCTGGAAGATGGGAAAAGGTCTTCATCTATGTGACCCCTACAATGACTAGTGTGGTATCTTGTACGTAATGGATTTTTAATATATGTTTGTTGTGTTACCTCTGATTTTTTCCCATTTGATTCTCCATAAAGGGCTTTTTTTTTTTTTTTGAGGCAGAGTTTCTCTCTGTTGCCCTGGGTAGTATACAGTGGTACCATCACAGCTCACTAAAAACTTGAACTCCTAAAAAAAACCCAAACAAACCTTGAACTACTGGGCTCAAGTGATCCTCCTGCCTCAACCTCCCAAGTAGTTGAGATTGCAACTGCCCACCACAATGTTTGGCTAATTTTTCTATTTTTAGTAGAGATGGGTTCTTGCTCTTGCTCAGTCTGGTCTTGAACTCCCACTCACGTAATGGCTCACTCGAGTAGTGGCTCAAGTAATTCTCCCGCACTGGTCTTCCAGAGTGTTAGGTTTACAGGTGTAAGCCACTGTACCCAGCAATTCACTATAAAGTTTAACAGACGTGTTTTCATTACATGCATGGCTTCTAATTTTTTTCTTTTTTTTTTTGAGACAGAGCCTCAAGCTATCCCCCTGGGTAGAGTGCTGCAGCTCAAAGCAACCTCCAACTCCTGGGCTCAAGTGAGTCTCCTCCCTCTGCCTCCCAAGTAGCTGGGACCACAGGTGCCCGCCACAATGCCCAGTTATTTTTTGGTTGCAGCCGTCATTGTTGTTTTGGTGGGCTGGGCTGGATTCGAACCCGCCACCTTAGGTGTATGTGACTGGCGCCTTAGCCACTTGAGCCACAGGCGCTGAGCCCTAATTTCTCTTAGTGGATGATGCCATAGCTCCTATTTGCTGTGTACTTACTATATCTGTCCACACTTGCTATTTTCAACCCTCACTACTGCTGCACAGAAGGTAGGACCACCGTACAGCCATTGCTTAGAGAAGCAGGGTCTCTCTTCAAGTCTGCTCAAGCAGCATCCCTCAGATTATTTTTTTACTTTATTTTATTATTATTAATTAAATTATTTATTTTTGGTCACCCTTGGTAGAGTGCCATCTTAACTCACAGCAACCTCAAACTCTTGGGTTCAAGTGATCCTCTTAACTCAGTCTTCCAAGTAGCTGGGACTATAGGTGCCCGCCACAACGGCCAGTTGTTTTTTAGAGATGGGATCTCGCTCTGGCTCAGCCTGGTCTTGAACCTGTGAATTCAGGCAATCTATCTGCCTTGACCTCCCAAGTACTAGGATTACAGATATGAGCCACCATGCCTGGCCTATTTTTTAAAATTATTATTATTTTTTGGAGTGCCATGGTTGTTATAACTCACAGTAACCTCTAACTCTTGGGCTCAAGTGATCTTGCCTCAGCCTCTTCAGTAGCTGGGATTATAGGTGCTGCCTGGCTAGGTTTTCTATTTTTAGTAGAGATGGGTTCTCACTCTTGTTCAGGCTGGTCTCAAACTCCTGACCTCAAGCAATCCACCCACCTTGGCCTCCCAGAATGCTAGGATTATAGGCATGAGCCACCGTCCCCTCCCCATTCCTCAGATTTAAATGAGACTCTTCCACCCCTCACTAAGCCAACCTGACCTATTATCAAAGACCCAGGGGTTTGGTGCAATCATGTGATCTTTGTTCTATACAAAACTTTATGAGAAATTAAACACAAATGTTAAACTGTCTCATTTAATTATGCATAAATGCCAAGCTGCCTAATTCAGTTTTCATATCTGATGCTGGAGAAGATTAAAAATGAGTTGGGATATCGAATAAACAGAAAAATAAAATACATAAATAAAATAAAATGGCTCAGCGCCTGTCGCTCAGTGGTTAGGGCTCCAGCCACATACATTGAGGCTGGCAGGTTCGAACCTGGCCTGGGCCTGCTAAACAACAAAGATAACTGCAACAAAAAAATAGCTGGGTGCTGCAGTGGCTGTAGCTGTAATCCCAGCTACTTGGGAGGCTGAGGCAAGAGAATCACTTAAGCCCAAAAGTTTGAAGTTGCTGTGAGCTGTGATGCCACTGCACTCTATTGAGGGTGACATAGTGAGACTCTGTCTTAAAATAAATAAATAAATAAATAAAATATACTAGGCTTACTGCTACTTTTTAAGTGTCTGTAGTAAAATCAAACTCATCCTTTTGAGAGACAAAATAAGACCCTCTGAACCAGCTTGAAAGAGAGAGACTTGTCTTAGGCAAGGACTGTGGGAAGATCACAAATTCACTAGATAGGATTACTATTCTTCTGGACAAATATAAAAATTAATAATACAGGTGTTTAACAACAATGTGAGTGTAAATAAAGAGGTGCCACAAAACTGTATGAGATTAACTATCTACTAAGAGGTAAAGGCAAGTGTGAAGAGATAGGGAAAAACGTTGATCAGTGTGACCTGGACTAGTCCAGTGTAAGAAAGCTCTATGGAAGTGGCCTGGAACACTGGCAGAGAAGGAAAGGAAAGATGGCAGAAAGGAGGATGTCGCTAAATGGCAGGACAGAAAACTGTGGGATGTCATGAGAGAAGTGACTAAGAACATTTTAAGGTAGCCTATAATTTAAAAAGGATGAAATGGAACTAGGCCCACACTGCTAATAACAGGGCATCAACCACAGTGAAGGAAAGGAAAACTCAAAGGACTTTAATCTAAGACAACAATCCAATCCAGTGACATCAAAGAAGTGACCCAGAGCAGACACACAATGAAGAACAACTGATTGTAGTCAAAGCAAAAAATCTACTCATGGTTGGGGACATGGAGCAATGAGTTACTTAATCACAGAAAGCTGCAAAGTATCCAAGGAGCAGAAGGGGGAAGTACCAAAGTGAAGACAGTGGGAGGAAAGAACTGTGAAAGCATTCTTGGGAGGAGCAGATCTTACTGTTTTATTTTTTCTTCCAAAATAAATCTACTTTGATCCTTTGTGGATCTGGTCTTGTCCATACAAAGGAAGATCTTTCCCAGCTCATCCAGCTGAATGTGGAACATATGCATTATGGCAAGGATGCTTTTATGTGGCACAAGACTTCCTCACCCCAAGTGAAGTCACCTGACCTCCCCCCACCACATGCACTTATGAGTAGAGACCCTGAAGCATGGCCAGTGAGGCATCTGTGAGGCAAATACTTAGAATTTTTTTAAGGCGTAGTTTGAAAACCACTGGACCAGTGCTCTTTAAGAGCCATTCTGTTTTTGCCAAAAGGATGAAATGGAACTAGGCCTTAAAGCAGAACTACCCTTAAAGAGCACTGGTCCAGGCTCGGCGCCTGTGGCTCAAGTGGCTAATACATACACCTGAGTTGGTGGGTTCAAATCCAGCCTGGGCCCGCCAAACAACAATGATGGCTGCAAACAAAAAATAGCTGGGCATTGTGGCAAGTGCCTGTAGTCCCAGCTACTTGGGAGGCGGAGGCAGGAGAATCGCTTGAGCCCAGGAGTTGGAGGTTGCTGTGAGCTGTGATGTCACAGCACTCTACCCAGGGCGACAGCTTGAGGCTCCGTCTCAAACAAAACAAAACCAAAAAAAGAACACTGGTCCAGTGGTTTTCGAACTACCCCTTTAAAAAATTCATTTTCCTTTAAAATTAGGTACATGTCAAAGAAGCTCAAAATATAAAAGATACATGCAGAGCTGTCTGGGGTAAATGGAAAGGGGCCTTGGATTGCTTTCCTCTCCTGCCTCAAGCAGCATCAGCCCTAAGAAGGCTAAACAATGTCCACTAATACCACTTATTTGGGCAATGTGAGCAGACAAGTGATAGAGGAAAGAAGTAGCTGAAATGTACTGAATAACATACAAACTTGGACTGCCTTGCAAATGTCTATGTGCTTTTGTATGGGAAAACGTATGGGACCCTGAAATAAAGAACACTGCTTTGGTTCATATATTCCCTGGGTAGTAAAAGCACATGTGTGTGGGGAAGTCCTAGGAGAAAGAAAGTATACAGATGAAAACCTTGGAAATTCCTTTTATCACTAATAAAGGTATACCCTTCCTAATTCTTCAGATTTCAACTTTAATCCCACCTCTTCCCTGAAATCTTCCAGATGTTCCAATCCAGTTTCTCTCCCTCCTTGAATCTTCCAAAATACACATTTTCAGTCCTTATCTGGCACTTAAATATCAATATAACTTCCACATGTCCATGTCTCGTCTCCCCAAGTTCCTCAAAGGACAAGGCAGATATTTTACTTTTAAGCAGACGGGGGCTTGCTCCCAGGAGGTACCGGCAGTGGCTGGCCTGGCTGCAGCAAGTTCCCAGGCCAAAGCTTGTGTTTTATTTTATTGTGTGCCCCTGCTCATGTAGCATGGTGCTCCCCAGATGCTCAGTGTGCATGCTCGGGTTGCATGTGGCTTCCAGAATACCTTCTCTTGCTATTCATGCTCCCCACTCTGGTCCACGTATCCGTTTCTGGGTTGTAGGCCTCCACAGTGCTCAGCCGTAGCTGGCCGTCATATCCCCCGATGGCATAGAGAAGCCCGTTCACTACAGCCACACCAACACGGCTACGGGCTGTTGTCATAGGATGGCATTTCTCCCAGCGATTGGCGATGGGGTCAAACACTTCCACCACATTCAGGGAATCACCTGCATAAAAATTTGCTACTCAAATTAAAACAAATGAGACCACTAGTTTAGATCACAGCTATTGAGCATTAATTATATGGACAGTTGAAGTGATTGTATTAGCTCTTCTCATAGAATTATCCAAGATATAAGACCCCACTAAGAAATTTTGGCCATGATAATCTCAAGCCTAATTCTTTTTTTTTTTTCTTGAGACAGAGTCTCAGCTGTTGCCCTGGGTGGAGTGCTGTGGCATCATAGCTCATAGCAACCTCCAATTCTTAGGCTCAAATCATCCTCTTGCCTCAGTTTTTCTATTTTTAGTAGAGATGGGGTCTTGCTTTTGCTCAGATTGGTCTTGAACTCATGAGCTCAAACAATCCACCCACCTCGGCCTCCCAGCATGCTAGGATTATAGGCGTGAGCCAACATGCCTGGCCTCAAACCTAATTCTTTAAGGAAAATCAGAATTGGATAGGAGGCACTTACTTTTTAGAGAGAGTAGTTTTCAGTTACAGTCAGTCAGGTACTGCACCTGCTTACAGAGTAAGCAGAGATAAAGGCAAATGGACACAGTATTTTCCCAGCATGGCAGCCATGCTCAGAGGAAAGGGCATAGGCTCCAATGCTGGCTTTCCACTGGGTGGCCTTTGCAAGCTGTTCTGTGTCCCCATCCTTTGTTTCACACATGAAATGGAGATAATTTTTATGGCAGAGTTGCCATGAGTAGATATAATAGGTAAAGTACCTAGCATGGTTAGAACATACTCAGTGCTTAATAAGTAGTCATAGCAACAAGCAATGATATAATTCCAACCCTACATTTTTCATCAGGTTTTTGTGAGAATCAAATAAAATAACTCCCCTTTCTGTTGCATGCTACTTTGATGCATTTAGCACTTGCCACACTCTAGTGTACAATGACTTGCAGACTTACCTTTTCCAGGTCATATGCTTAACAAGCAGCCGACTAGCTCTCCACCTCCCCATCCATCCCCGCAAAAAAACAAATCAAAACAAAACAAAAAAACTCAAGCAGCAGACTAGTACCCACTACCTCTCATTAACCTTCAGTTAAAAACAAAACTTTCCAGGCCTGCCCGCCAACTCCCCCAGGAGGACAGAGGGCCCATGGAGTCCTGAAAACCTGACTGTATGATAAAACAGCTGCCATTAACACATAACACATGGCTCGTACAGAATGTGTATGTTTCAAAGTAGGAGGTGAAGTGTAAAAAGTATTATTGATGGTGGCAGACCCTATGTATCTGGATAATATTCTTTTTCCTGGGGGCATTCTCAGTCTAACCCCAGAGATCCATATTACTGAATGAATAGCTTGGTAACAGATCTGGGTCTCTGACTGTCTTATCCATGGCAGAGGAAATGCTATAACCAATGTGATATCAGGGCAAAAGTGCTGGTTTGAATGAGGAGGATACCTAAGTTATAGTTCTTGTACTACCAAAACAACTTGTGTGAACACAAAGTTCTGTGGGCTTCAACTTCCTCATCTGTAAAGTAAGAAGGCAAGGCCTCAAAAATTTCTAAAAGGCCTTTTTAAACAGCACTGATATTCTGATTTAATAGTATGAGTACAGGACATGCTCTAACTGCAGAGCAGTAACATAAAATTGAGAGGTGCAAAAGTGGTAGTAGCACAAAGGAGAGGAATCAGAGGGCCAGGCTAATTTGTTTGGCGCTTCTTCAACAACAGAGTCCAAGACAGGGGTCTACAAAGAGGAGTTGCAAGATACCTGCTGAGTTGAGGCCCCCCACGGCATAGATAAGCCCAGCGATGGATGTGCAGCAGCGTGGCCGAGTTCTGAAAGCTGGCAGATGGGGCCGGCGCTCTGGCATGAGGTGATAGTCCTTTGCTTCATCTACAAGGTCTCTGGAATAAGGTATAAGATACTAGAACAGGAGGTATCCTCCCCACTTGGTCCACATTTGCACTTCTAAGCCTGGATCCCCAACTCTGAACTGCAGGGGAAACCTGGGAGGAGAAGGCTTTTGAGAGGTTTAGTCTTAAAGAATCCAAGTGAGTAATGGTGAAATCACACATAGCTATTGAGACATGCTTGAAACTACAGGGGCAAGATTAGCAGTGTCTACCTTGGCTAGTATAATCAGAATGAGAATCTTCTTCATTTTTTTTTTTTGAGACAGAGTCTCACTTTGTCACCTTCAGTAGAGTGCCGTGACATCACAGCTCACAGCAACCTCCAGTTCTTGGGCTTAGGTGATTCTCTTGCCTCAGCCTCCTGAGTAGCTAGATCTATAGGTGCCTGCCACAATGCCCAGCTATTTTTTTTTGTCGCAGTTTGGCCAGGGCCGGGCTTGAACCCGCCACCCTCAGTATATGGGGCCAGTGCCCTACTCACTGAGCCTAGGCACTGCCCCAGAATGAGTACCTTCTAACAGACATAGACTAGGCATGAGAAAAACAGGGCGATAACTAAAACATTAGATTTTGGAAGTTTGACAAGCAGCCTGCATCCAGGGGCCACTCAGACCTAGCTCTTCCTTTCCATTCCTATGCTCCCACCATGCCTCCTACTCTGCAAGTAATTACCTCTCACTTGTATGGCAGCAACAGCCAATAGTTTCTGACACATGTCCCTGCCTCCAGCCTGCCCCTCCATTGCACTCTCCCCACTTTAGTCTAGCTGCCTTTATAAGAACCTTCCATAGCTACCACTGCCAACATCAAACTCCTCAATGGCATCCTTCAGACATTGGCTACAGGGCCCCAGCTTCCTCCAGCCTGCCTCCACCCCTACTTGACACATACCTTCATACCACCTGCCCCTTAGGAGTGGAAATAAAGGAAAGGACATAGTATGTATAAAAATTTTACCAGCAGGATTGGGCACAGTGGCTCACATCTATTTCTAGCACTCTAGGAGGCCAAGGCAGGTGGATTGTAGAGTTGTTTTTGGACGGGGCTGGGTTTGAACCCGCCACCTACTCCTTTGAGCCACAGGTGCCACCCTTTTTTTTTTTTTTTTTGTAATTTAAATAAATTTGTGAGTGAAAAATGAACATCAGGTACAGTGGACCCATAAGCAGGTCACAACAGCTCATTCTGGGAGTGCTCTCACAGAGTCTGCAGGAGAGATTCCTGTGGAACATCAGCTGAACATTCACCATAATTCATAAAACCGTCTGATGTGTGCATTACACAATGGGTCATCAACATGATACAGTAATGAAAATACAATATCAAATACTCGATACTTTGTGAATTACAAAGTACAATAGAAACAATTTAGCTCCTTTTTAAAAAATGAAAAAATATTTATTTTCTTTTCTTCTTTTTTTATTTTGAGACAGAATTTTATTGTGTTGCCCTTGGTAGAGTAACATGGCATCATAGCTCACAGCAACCTCAAACTCCTTGGCTTAAGTGATTCTCTTGCCTCAGCCCCCAAACAGGTGCCCGCCACAACACCTGGCTATTTTTTTGTTGCAGTTGGCCCAGGCCTTGGTATAAGTGGCTGGTGCCGTAATCACTGTGCTATGGGTGCCGAGGGACCCCCCCCCTTTTTTTTTGAGACAGTCTCACTATGTCACCCTTGGTAGAGTGCTGTGGTGTCACAGCACATAGCAACCTCAAACTCTTGGGTTTAAGCGATTCTCTTGCCTTAGCACCCACCGTAGCTGGAACTACAGTACAGGTGCCCGCCACAACACTCAGCTATTTTTTGTTGCAGCTGTCATTGTTGTTTAGCTGGTCCAGGCCAGGTTCGAACCTACTACCCTCGGTGTATGTGACTGGTGCCATAACCACTATGCTATGGGCGCCTATCCAAAAAACTATTTATGTTACAGCCTTATTTCACACATTTTCAGTTACATACAGCTTTATACATTTTCACTTGTAATAGACAGCAAGAGAATGATTTCTCTGGTACCTATATATAAAACATGTTACTTGTTTGATGTCTGCACTCTGGAAGATACTTTAACATGCATGAATGAACTCAGGAGTTTGAGACCAGCCTGAGAAAGAATGAGACCCTGGGCCTGCTAAAAATGGAAAAACTAGCTGGGTGTTGCGGTAGGTGCCTGTAGTTCCAGCTACTTGGGAGGCCAAGGCAAGAGGATTGAAATTGCTGTGAGCTATGACACTACAGCACTCTACTTAGGGCGACAGAGAAAGACTCTGTCTTAAAAAAAAAAATTCTCAGCAAAAGAGAAAAGAATATTTTGTTGTGAGTAGGATTTACTCTGGACAAAAGGTTCATGTATCAGTAAACACTTGCCAATCACTATAAATGTAAAGCCTACACCCACCAGAGACACAATTACCAGGGCACTGACTAATATTTACTGAAGAAGGTGAGGAACCTCAGGAAGTCCCCTTTGTACCACCAAATGTGCTGCTGGTAGGAATGGGTGAGGGCAGGCTGTATAGAGGTGCTTGTACATTTATAAATAGTTCAGTAGATGAAGATGCCAGAAAATCCTCAGATAACTCAAGGAAGGAAAGCCTCGTCTGCCTTAGTGCTCCCACATAGCTTGTCTCTCTGCCCAAGGTATAACACCTCCTCTTCCAAGTTCTTCCCACTGAGAGGGCAGACTAATCTGTGTGCCATGAAGCAGACTGACTGCTCTAAATCCTTTCTCCCCTGAGCTGGAACAGGTCCAACTCCTCTGCCCAGACCTTTAGCAGTGTCCCATGCAGGTCCTCCCTCACTCACCTGCATTTGTGGCAGCAACGTACCAGGTCATCCTGCTGTACTCGGTCTGACAGGAACTGGGGCCGGCAAAGGGGCAAGCGGATATTAGACAGCAGCTCAGGCAGGCAGGGTCCCCTCTGCTCCCGGTCATATCTGACCCAGGCTAGTACAGCTTCAAAGACCTGCCATGACAGAGTGGAAGCTCTGGCAGAAACTCCTCCCACCCAGAGGCCACATCCCTGTACCCACAACCTCAATCTCTCCATTTACTGTACTGAAGCTGTCCCTTGGGCCACCAACCTTTCCTCCTACTTGTCATCTCAAATTCCTGATTTCTCTTCACCTCCTAGGTTACTGTAATAGCTTCTTGGCTTTCATTATGATTATGAAGCTTCTTGGTTTTCATTATGATTTTCTAATGAACAACCATTGGTGGCACCTTATTTCTTTCTACATCACCACAAAATGTATTTTCCTTCCTGCTGCCCCTGCATCCTATCGCCTCCAAACTTCCACTATCATCTACTCTAGCCAGCCTGAATTGGTCCCCTGTTCACACTGTACCCTCTCATTTACTTCTCTTCACCTAAACCCACTCTCCTTTGTTTAAGGCCTTGCCAAGATCCATGTTCTCTATAGAGCCATTCCTAATGGAGTCAGCCACAAGGATGTCCCCCTTTAAACTCCTAAAGCCCTTATAAAATATATCACTCCAATACATGTGAACTGCCCAGGTCATATGTAATAGCTAGAGATAGAACATCCCAGCCATGGGATGAGGCTCTTTTCTCTAAATCACAGTGCCTATATTGCTGAGCTCAGGGTCCACTTTTCTACTGGTCACTAGGGGTGCATGTGGGGGCTCTTCAGACTTTCAGAAAATTAGCTGAATTGGGACTAACATCCTAATGCTTGCCTCTTAGAGCCTAGAGCTCCTCAAGGCAGGCCTAGATTCTTGATTTCAAACATCACAAGCTGCTGTGGCTTTAGTTAGATTTCTCAACCATAGGTGGAGGCTTTGCAGCAGTGATGCTCCTAGTACTTGCATAGCCAGGTACAAACTTCTGGAGCCCCTCATACAACATTTCCTTCACTACTAGCCCTAGCCATCCTCAGCCCAAAATAACACTTATTCACTATTTTTTAAGACAACTTACATTGCACCTTTGCTGAACAGAAAGGCTTCACTCCTTTCTGACTACTAACACCTTACATTCCTTTCTCCTTCACTCCTTTCTGACTACTAACACCTTACATTCTCATTTATGCTTTCTTGACCACTCCAAGATTTGTCTTTTTTGTTAGAGGACCCTACAATTGCCCAAAACTTGCTTTGCCAATACCTTCACCCTCCATGATGACCATCCCTGTCATTATCAATAGCTTCACCTCTTTCATAATTTTAAGAATGCTAGTACATGACCACTATCTCAAATCCTTTCAGATCCAATTAGCTTTTGACACTCCCCTACCCCAGCTCCTACGTCTGGCCTATTTCCTAACCTCCTGAATCCAGTATGGGTCCCATGGGGTTATTATACAGGTGTCATCAATTCCCACGCCATGATCTTTTCTCTCTAATCACATTCACCTGGGAAAAAAATCTCTAACCTGGTGAAGTCCAGCTCTTTAAACTCAACTTATCCTCTATCCCACACCTGTACCAGTCAATGTGACAGAAAACACAAAAGAACAGACCAGTTTGTTTAAAATTTGTGACTACTAATATCATCAGGTCCTGCCTCCTATCAAGCCCTCTGCATTTCCCTAGCACTCTCCACTTAATCTTCACCTTTTCTAGAGAACTATTTCATATCTTTTCATTTCTTCTCAATTTTAAACACTCCTCCCTCATCCTCACTCTTAGCTGAGAAATCAGAAACAACGCCGAAGAGAATGTCCGTAAGACCCTACCAGCATCTTCCTTCCTCCTCCCCTTCCTGCTGTATCTGGGTGTGTGCATGCTGCTCTCCCTCCTGCTGCTGTGGATGTGGATGGCTTGTGCTCCTATCACTTACACAGTGTCCCCTCTGCCCTGGACACTTATCTTCTCTCACTTACTGCAGAACATCATTCCAATAACCATTCCCCTATTTCTCCTACATTACCAATTCTTCCCTCTTTTCTGGCAAACTCCCTTTAGCAGTCAGATATACTATAATTTCTTTCTACTTAACAAAGAAAACCCCTCTTGACTTCACATTCCCCTCTGGGATGGCCCCAATGTGTTGCTTGTCCTTAGAAAAAGATCCTTTCTTTTTGGGGGGACAGGGACAGAGTATCACTCCGTTTCCCAGGCTAGAGTGCAATGGCATGTGTGATCAGAGCTTACTATAGCTTCAAACTCTTCAGACTTAAGCAATCTCCCCACCTCAGCCTCCCAAGTAGCTGGAAGTAAAGGTGGGAACCACTACACCTGGCTAATTTATTTTCTTTTCATAGAGATGGTGTCTTACTACGTTGCCTAGCCTAGTCTTGAACTCCTGGATTCAGGCAATCCTGCTTTGGCCTCCCCAAGGGCTGGGATTATAAGTATGAGCCACCATGCCTAATTAAGATGCTTTCAAAATGTTTTCTACACTTGCTATTTCCAGTTCACAGCAGATTCTTTCTAAAAGTAAATGCTGGAAATAACCCAAACGTCCAAGAATAAGGGAAGTACAGTTGATAAATCAATAGAATATCATTTAGACACTGAAATGCACAGAAACTTTTAATGAAAAATACATACAATAAAATCTTATAATATACAATGCCTGCATACATGTCACAATCTTAACTTTGTAAAAATGATTAACAGAAAACAAGGGGCTGGGCTTGGTGGCTCATGACTGTAATCTTAGCACTCTGGGAGGCCAAGGAAGGTAGATCACCTGAGCTCAGGATTTTGAGACCAACCTGAGTAATAATGAGACTCCACCTCTAAAAATAGCTGGGTGTTGTGGCGGGTGCCTATAGTCCCAACTACTTGGGAGGCTGAAACAAGAGGATCACTTGAGCCCAAGTGTTTGAGGTTGCTATGGGCTATGATGTCATGGCACTCTACTGAAGGCAACAAAGGGAGACTCTGTCTCAAGAAAAAAGGAAAACAATGATTAAAAAGATCAGTATCTCATGCAACCTGCACACACTGCTACTGTGCTTACAGACCTGCTCCTCTGATTTTACATTCAGTTCATCCCGAGACACTAGCTCAAGCACGTCTTCCAAGGGCAGGGCCAGGAACTCTTCTGACATGGACACCTCCACAAAGTGCTGGTGGATGAAGCTGTTGGCTGCATCATACAGCACAGCACACATCATTGTCTCAGCAAACTGGCGCACACCAAGGCAATTTTTTGGGTGAAGCCTTTTAGAACGAGAAAGATGAAAAGAAAAATATCAGAGGAAGAAAGAATGTTATATTTGATCATTCTCAGGTTGGTTCTGGATAGAGGGACAGAAGGAAAACAAGCAAATTTTGTCCTCAGCTTTCTTGGAAACTCCCCGTGTGACAACAGGGACACTTATCTTGGATTCTTGCTTCTAAAGATAAGATTAAGAAAGATTATCCTCAAAGATCCCTATCTCTTGGGCCTGGTACTCTATGTGCCGAAAGGGAATGAGCTCTCTGGGAAGTCCTGTGAGATATCTGTTAGGAGAGAACCAGAGAGCATATACTGGAAAACTTGTTTGCTACATTCCATTGCTGACATTCCTAGTTGAGTATCTAGGGTATTATTCTACTTCTGGTTGCCAGGAAGGTACCAAAATTATAGAATAAGAGTTTAAAACAGGGGGAGATGGCTTCTCTAATACTGGAATCCTTATACTTTTTTACAGAAAGAAGGCTCCATGGGTCTAACTGTTCAGACATCCAGAAATAGCAGCAGCTATTATTATTATTTTTAAGCACTATCAGTGAATCAAATTCTTTGCTAGGCCTTTTTACACATTCTCCAGAATCTTTTTAACAATCTGCAAAGTAGTTATTGCTCTTATTTTATAGATGGAAAACTAAGGCTCAGAGAAACCAAAAAAAAAATGTACTCATAGTCCCACAAAGAACAAGTAGTAGTGCTGAGACTGAACCCAGGCCACTTGTCCATGTTCTCAACATACCAAAGCAGGCTTACACTAACCATGGCCAGGAAAACCAGGTAAATGCTGGCCCTGACACTAACTATGGATGGGGTCCTCAAGTTCTCAGAAATGTCAGTAATTTCCGCACCTGAAAAAAAGATGATGACAACAGCTACCCACCTGTTAAGAGGCTGGAATGTAGGTAAAAGCACTCAGCATGTACCTAGTATGAAGTTAGCTGTGGTTTTAATTTTTATTAGGGTTGTTTCCTTACTACTATTTCATCTGAAGAAAATTCTGAAAGAACCCAGTGTGGTTCTGAAATCTCAGTGACAGCAGCAGCAGTTCTCAACCTGTGAGTCACGACCCCTTTTTATTTTTATTATTTTTTTAGAGACAGAGTCTCACTTTATTGCCTTTGGTAGAGTGCCATGGTGTCACAGCTCATAGCAACCTCCAACACCTGGGCTTAGGCGATTCTCTTGCCTCAGCCTCCCAAGTAGCTGGGACTACAGGTGCCTGCCACAATGCCTGGCTGCGACCCCTTTTTAACAATGAAAATACATTGTGGGCTCGGCACCTGTGGCTCAAGCGGCTAAGGCGCCAGCCACATACACTTAAGGTGGCGGGTTCGAATCCCCAGCCCGGGCCCGCCAAACAACAATGATGGCTGCAACTAAAAAATGGCCGGGCACTGTGGTGGGCGCCTGTGGTCCCAGCTACTTGGGAGGCTGAGGCAGGAGACTAGCTTGAGCCCAGGAGTTGGAGGTTGCTATGAGCTGTGATGCCATGGCACTCTACCCAGGGGGATAGCTTGAGGCTCCGTCTCAAAAAAAAAAAAGAAAAGAAAATACATTGTGGCATTAGGAAGGTTGAGATCTACTGCTCTAGAGAAAGGACCTTTTCTTTCTTTTTGTTTTTGAGTCACCCTTGGTAGAGTGTTGTGGTGTCATAGCTCACAACAACCTCAAACTCTTGGGTTCAAGTGATCCTCTTGCCTCAGCCTTCCTAGTAGCTGGAACTATAGGTGCCTGCCACAATGCCTGGCTATTTTTATTTTATTTATTGGTTTATTTATTGACAATCTCTCAAGCTGTTGCCCTGGGTAGAGTGCCATAGTGTCACAGCTCACAGCAACCTCAAACTCTTGGGCTTAAGCTATTCTCTTGCCTTAGCCTCTCAAGTAGCTGGGACTACAGGCACATGCCACAATGTCTGGCTATTTTGTTGTTGTTGCAGTTGTCATTGTTGTTTTAGCTACCTGGGCCAGGTTCAAACCCACCAGCTTCAGTGAATGTAGCCGGTGCCCTACCCACTGAGCTATGGGCACCACCCTCAGCTATTTTAAAAACTGGGTCTTGCTCTTGCTTAGGCTGGTCTCAAACTCCTGAACTTAAGCAATCCACCAGCCACAGCCTCCCAGAGTGCTAGGATTATAGGCTGGAGCCACAGCACCTGGCTGAGAGGATCTTTTCTTATTCTGATTTTGTAATTAATAATCTGTAAAGGAGGTGGTATTCACCAGATTACAATTTGCCCAGACCTACTATCCTTCATTAAAATGCTTTTTTTTTTATCTCCCCCCCATGTTAGTTTAAGGTTATAGGTATAGAGTTATATTTACTTAGTAATATTCACCATTGTCCCCAGCATTAGACCCATCAAGGATTGAAAGGGCGATTATCTCGTGAGTCTGGCTTTATGACTAGTCAAAATTCTACATAGTAGGCTCGGTGCCCGTAGCACAGTGGTAACAGTGCCAGACACATACACCCAGGCTGGTGGGTTCAAACCCATCCTGGGTCAGCTAAACAATAATGACAAACTGTAATAAAAAATAGTTAGGGGTTGTGGGGGGCACCTGTAGTCCCAGCTACTCAGGAGGCTGAGGCAATTGCTTAGCCCAGGAGTTTGAATTTGAGGTTGCTGTGAGCTGTGACGCCACAGCACTCTACTGAGGACAACAAAGTGAGACTCTGTTTCAAAAAAATAAAAAAATAAAATAAAATAAAATTCTACATAGTTGTTTCATTCTACCCTGACTTGCACTGTCCATTACTTTGGAAACCTATGTGAATTTCTAAAGGCCAAGGACACATAAGTAAGGAGCAACACATAGGCAAGGTGGCATGGCCATTAGGAATACAGAATGCCAGCTCAGTCATCTGTCAAATAATGCCTTTCACCTAAAACACTTATGGTGATTGAATGAGATATGCTAAAATGCTTTACAAACAGAAGCCAAAAATGAAGATAAGCTGGCTCGATGCCTGTAGCACAGTGGTTATGGCACTGGCCACATACACTGAGACCAGCAGGTTTGAACCCAGCCTGGACCAGCTAAACAACAAGGACAACTGCAACAACAACAACAACAACAACAACAACAAAAAATAGCTAGGTGTTGTGGCGGGCACCTGTATAGTCCCAGTAACCTGGGAGGCTGAGGCAAGAGAATCACTTAAGCCCAAGAGTTGGAGGTGGCTGTGAGCTGTGACACTACAGCACTCTACCCAGGGTGACAAAGTGAGACTGTGTCTCAAAAAAAAATAAGAGGATAAGCCTTCCCTGGGCCTCTATAGTATGTGTGTAGTATTTCCTGCTTCTCTAACGTAAACCTAAGAGAAAGATTCAAAATGCCACAGACTGGGAACTGGATAGCATCTAAAGACAAGGGCGAGGATATCAGCATAGCTACTGGCATTACCTCATCTTTGGCTATCTTTGACTGGCTTGGCATAATATTGAGTGCAAAACACAACTTCTCAACTAAAGAAGTTCATATGCAAGAGGATGGGATGTGAAAAGCCTGTTTATGAGGTAGAGAAAGAGGAAGGAGAGCTACCACATAGGAAAAGGGCCCATGTAGGAATAGAAGTGAGAGAGGAAGAAAAATAAACTTAAAGGGTAGATAGAAACCTACATCTTTCATCAGTTACTTTATAACCTTTCTCTTTGCTAACATAGCTCCACTTTGTCAGCAAAGGGCTACATGAGATGTAATGTTTTTATCAGAGGCAGGAAGCAGTGACTTGAGTTAAATTAAGTTAATGCCCTGGTACAAAGACATATTTAATGTTCTGATCTATTTTTGACAAGAGTTTCAGAAAATACATAGCTCTAGTGTTCACCTAAAAGCAATGAGGTCCATACATCTGAAGGCTGGGAAAAAGGCCATAAGAACACTCTAACCCTAGCCTCAAGGGCAGGCGTCCTCAAACTATGGCCCGCGGGCCACATGTGGCGCACCTAGGACATTTATCTGGCCTGCTGGGTGTTTTTGTCTTCACTCCCTGTCCTGCTTAGCAACCAACTTGTCCCAGGGCCCACAGTCTGGCCCTCCAACGGTCTGAGGGACAGTGAACTGGCTCCCTATTTAAAAAGTTTAAGGACCCCTGCTCAAGGGCAAAAATATCAGCATGCTGAAGATCTAATAGGCTAAGTGGCCTCAAGAACTATTGGTCTATGAACTTTGATTGTTTGCAGCTTCTCTGTGCTGTCATTTCCTGCCTTTTCCATAACTGCTCAGAGTGGTTTTCCTCAAGTCACTGGCAATCAAACCTTGAAAACAAAGCATCCATGTGCTTGTCCTTAAGGGCACATGAGAAGCAAGGAGCTGGGAGACACACTACATTTTATTGCCAGGCTCAGAGATAATCACTCCAAGGATCAGTGGTAGTAGTGGAAACTACTAAGAAAAAGAAAGTGAGCGGGCAGCGCCTGTGGTTCAGTGAGTAGGGTGCTAGCCCTATATACTGACAGCAGTGGGTTTGAACCCAGCCCCTGCCAAACTGCAATAAAAAATAGCTGGTTGGTTGTGGTGAGTGCCTATAGTCCCAGCTACTCAGGAGGCTGAGGCAAGAGAATTACCTAACCCCAAGAGCTGGAGGTTGCTGTAATCTGTGATACCATGGCACTCTACCAAGGGTGATAAAGTAAGACTCTGTCTCTAAAAAAAAAAAAAAAAGCAAACCAGGCCTCTGGTGTCTGTGGCAGGAAATAAAGACAGGAATGAGATGAAGGTTTAGGTCTCAGAAGGGGTCTTGCAGGGCTGAATGAAAAAATGTCAAGGACAGACTCAAAACATTAGGCTTTATGCTTAAATCCTACTTCTAAAATGGTACTAGTATAACAGCAACTTCAAATTCCTGGGCTCAACTGAACCTTTTGCCTCAGTCTCCCAAGTAGATGGGACTATAGGCACCAGCCACGATGCCCTGCTGATTTTTCTATTTTGTTTTTAGAGAACAGAGTCTCACTTTGTCGCCCTCAGTAGAGTGCCGTAGTGTCACAGCTCATAGCAACCTCCAACTCCTGGGCTTAGGTGATTCTCTTGCCTCAGCCTCCCAAGTAGCTGGGACTACAGTGCCCACCACAATGCCCAGCTATTTTGTTGTTGCAGTTTGGCTAGGGCTGGGTTTGAACCGGCCACCCTCGGTATATGGGGCTGGTGCCTTACTCACTGGCACCGCCTGATTTTTCTATTTTTTTATAGAGATGGGATGGGATCCTGCTCTTGCTCAGGCTGGTCTTGAACTCTTGAGCTCAAGGGATCCTTCCATCTCTGCCTCCCAGAGTGCTACGATTAGGCCTGGCCTAAAAATCACTTTATTAAGCATCTTTTTATAACAAAGTCTGGCCAGTGTTAATAGTGATAACCTCAAAAGCCCCTAGATGGAGCTGTTGTCCCTTGATGGAGATGTGAGGCTAGCCAACTTAATCCCTCCAGAGTACCTACTTAGTCAAAAGGCCATTCTCCAAGTTCTGTGGGAACAAAGAGACAAACTAAGTCCAACCTGTGTCTTAGAAGCTCACAAATGAATAGGAAAGACTGTGTTCCACATCCCCATATGTGCCCCTTCAGGGAAGGTAAACCTGGCTTTGGGGCTATACTCTTCACTATGAGATCTCCATCTACAAAACTGGGAACAGTATCAGCTACCTCAAGATGAAACCATTCACCTGGTACCCAGCAGAGGAGCACCCCTGCATTTAAGGCATCAATACTATGGTTATTACGACCAGTAGCAGACACACCATGCTCACTAATTCTCAACAGCACCAAGTGGGCAAGATGTCAACAGCAGATGGGGCCCACAAAGCTGAGTGAACTGGATTGGTAGGGTAAGAATGAGGGAGGAGGAGGTCTGCTCTAAGAGGGGATGAGGTTCAGAAGAGCTAATCTGAGTCAGGAGGAAGGCCAGAAAGCTGGTGATCAGAGAAGGATCCGTGGAGGTTGGGTGTGAGAGAGCATTACAGCATAGGGCTACTGTTTCAGTTTTCCCCTGTGTATGGCCTAGCACTGATGCTTACTCTGCCAGCCTCTGGTGGTTAAAAGCCTTTAAGTTATGACTAAGAGCTCTGTCTCTTGAGGGGGAAGGAAGAGCTTTCTTATCTACTTGGTTAAAAAGTCACAGAATGAGGCTCATTGGCCAAGCACTGAAAACAGGGGTGGGGTACAATCTACAATTTTACCCTAAAAGAGCAGACAATGATTGATCCCAGGGGATTAGAAGGATGGAGAACTCTAGGATGTGAAATTTGGATAGGCTCTTAGAGAGCTGAAAGAAGGTCAAGAAATTCAAAGAAAGGAAGTATTTAAGCAATGATGGAGATGGCTATGGGATGGTGAGGGAGAACTGAATAAATGAACCTGGTAAGAAATCAGTTACATTAGCAGCTGGCCACACTGGAGAGAGAGGACCTGAAGCCAAGGGAAAAAGCAAACAGGACTATGTAAATCATGTTCTGAAAGGTTCATTCCAAAGAATTGGGTATTGCTTGATGGTAATTTTAAGAAATATCATTTCTGCAGCGCAATCTTGCAGTAATCTCCAGTTCATTCTCTTCATAAAACTCGATATGGCCCCAAAGATTCAGCAAACTGGCAAGGGATTCCAGAAATGAAATAGTCATGCTTCCCTCCATGAGCCAGGCCACCACATCACCTCACCGTTCTCGAAGGAATGTGCAGCAGGCGTCTTTGATGCTCTGTAGCTGTAGGAAGCTCGCCCCCATCAGCAATGACTGCACATTTTGCTGGTCAATGGCAAGGTTGCCATTGTAGGCAAAGTTGATCAGAGCTTCCAGGGCACTAGAGGAAAGAGGAAAAGCTGTGAGATGCTCTTCAGATATGAGTCTTGGCCCACCAGAGACTCGGGCGCTAAATCAGCGGTTCTCAACCTGTGGGTTGCGACCCCTTTGTAACAATGAAAATACACTGTGGCATTAGGAAGGTTGAGAACCATGGCCCTAAATGAACTTACTTCACTACCTGGAGAACATATAAGTCCTGGCCCTAAAATCCATTTAGCCTATGCCCTTGAGAATCTAATTATTTGGAATAACAATTTCACCACAGCTAAAACCTCATTCTACTAAGTTGTCTTCATTGTCCAAATCAACCATGGTTATCTTTCTAGGTTTATTTTTAATCCCTATTTACCGGCAGGCATTAATTATATGGACATAATCATCAAATACTTATTATTATTAAGCTCTTTTCCATATTGCTACAATATCATGTTTGTTGCTTTTAGTGGCTGTTATAATTCAACATGTAAATATGCTATAATCTATTTCCCTTATTAGTAGGTATAATAGCTATTACATTATTATTATGGCTATCATGTTTTAGAATTATTAATTCGTTGGGGTAAATTACTAAAATGAGATATCCAATATTTTTCTTGGCTTCCAGTTCACACTGAAAATGAAATCCAAATTCCATCTGTAAGGCTATGTGTGGTCTGGCCCTTCTCCATCTATCTGAGCTTATCACCTTCCACTCTTTCCCTTTCTCATTCTATTTCATTATTCTGAACATATTCTCACCTCAGGGCGTTTGCACTGCCTGCTCCTGGAGGGCTCTTCCCCCAGATGGCTCACTCCTTCATTGCAATTAAGATCTTGGCTCAAATGCTACCTCTTACAGAGACCTTTCCTATTCACCCTGAAGTAGCATTAACCCCTACCATCATTGGCTAGCCTTTACTTTGATTTACTTTCTCATATCACTTTTATGCCTAGCCACACTATGTATGTATTTGGTTATTGCCAGATCCCCATTACTAGAAAGTTGGCACGATGAGAAGAGGTGCTATTTTCTTACTACTAAAGCTCAGTGCCTAGAGCCATGTATAACACAGATGTTCAGTCAATTTTTGTTAACCAAAGCACCTGGCTCCTTAGCATGGCTCCTTCAGACACATGCCTCTGAGAAGAGGAGTGCACAATTGCCATAATTGCCCTTGGAAATCCACTTCTGTTTCTTTCCTTACAAGTATAGCTGACTTGAGAGATCTCTACCTTGCATTAGGTATATAAATTCTCTCCATGTAATGTAGCAGATCACCTTTAATCATCCAGAGGGTACCAAATAGTCTCCTAGCTCCCTTTCTCATAGTTTTCACTACTATGAGGTTAGGCAAAAACTGACTACTAGCATGGGCTTGGTCTTCATGAGCTTCAATTTTTTGATCAAATAACCGTAATATCTGCCACATTCTAGACTTGTGCTGACCAATACTGTAGCCATCAGCCACATGTGGCTATTTAATAGTAAATAAAATTTTTAGTAGAGACAGGGTCTCACTCTTGCTTAGGTTGGTCTAGAACTCCTCCTAAAACAAAAAAATTTAAAAAGTAAATTAAACTTTAAATCCAGTCCTTCAGTCCCAGTAATCACATTTCAAGCTCTCAGTAGTCATCTATGGCTAGTGGCTATAATTTTAAGCAATGCAAATTGAAAGAATATTTCTTTTTTTTTTTTTGAGACAGAGCCTCAAGCTACCCCCCTGGGTAGAGTGCTATAGCATCACAGCTCACAGCAACCTCCAACTCCTGGGCTCAAGCGAGTCTCCTGCCTCAGCCTCCCAAGTAGCTGGGACCATAGGTACCTGCCACAACGCCCGGCTATTTTTTACTTGCAGCCATCATTGTCGTTTGGTGGGCCTGGGCTGGATTTGAACCCCCCCACCTTAGGTGTATGTGGCTGGCGCCTTAGCCACTTGAGCCACAGGCACCAAGCCAAGAATATTTCTACCACAGTAGAAACTTCCAATGGTCTAGAATGATGGGAAGGGAAATAAATAAAGACACTTATTTGAAGAACTATTTTTTTTAGCTAAAATGACTAGCCCCCCCAAATGCAGAGTAATATACCACCACCCTTGTACTTAGCCTTACTTAAAAAATATCTTGGCAGCTTGGCGCCATAGTTCAGTGGTTAGGGCACTGGCCACATGCACCTGGGCTGGTGGGTTTGAACCCAGCCCAAGCCTACTAAACAACAATAACAACCACAACAAAAAAATAGCCAGGCGCTATGGTGGACACCTGTAGTCCTAGCTACTTGGGAGGCTGAGGCAAGAAAATCACTTAAGCCCAAGAGTTTGAGGTTGCTGTGAGCTGTGATGGCACAGCACTCTACTGAGTGTGACATAATAAAACTCTCTCTCAAAAAAAAAAAAAAAGCTGTGATGCCACGGCACTTTACTGAGGGTGACATAATAAGACTCTGTCTTCAAAAAAAAAAGAAAGAAAGAAAGAAAGAAATATATATATCTTGGCATTTAGTCCTACTACATGTGTTACTCCGATAGTAGAGTAAAAGCAACATCAAAACTCTCCACATTTTAACCCTAAATTAGCCGCTGGCTGATGTTATAACCTGTCTTTTTTTGTTTGTTTGATTTTTGTTTTTTGAGATAGAGTTTCACTTTGTTGCCCTCAGTAGAGTGCTGTAGCGTCACAGCTCACAGCAACCTCCAACTCTTGGGCTTAAGCAATTATTTTGTCTCAGCCTCCCAAGTAGCTGGGACTACAGGTGCCTACCACAAAGCCTGGCTATTTTTTTTTTTTTTTTGGTTATAGTTGTCATTGTTGTTTGGCAGGCCCCGGCTGGGTTCAAACACGCCAGATCCAGCTATGTGGCTGGTGCCCTAGCCGCTGAGCACAGGTGCCAAGCCAAGATGTTCTAATCTGTTAACTAATTACCTACTCTGTATGTGGGGGGGCTATGCTATTAGATATCTCGTCCTGCTGTAGGCCATCAAATGGTACAAAGCACAGGCCTAAAACTGTACCTGGAAAGCAGCCTGTGAAACCTAATGGTGGGATTTAGTACCTTGGATCCATTCCTTGCATTACAATCTCATCCTGCTTGCATTCCATCATGTCATTTGTAAACATTGCATGGAAGTATGGGATCGAGGCTGCTAAGACAATCCGGTGAGCACTGAATTTGTGGTCCCCAATCTGTGGGCAAAGTAAAACACAAAGACAGATACTGAGGAATGCAAACAGAGAAACCCAACCTGCCCCTTCCACAGCTTACCCCACTGCCCACTGCAATGGCGCTGAAAGCATCCCAGGACATGACAGCCAAAGCTTAGCATGGAGACCTTCAAGTATTTTAAATTCAATATACTCAGTTAGAGTATGTAGAAGAATGTAAATGATACATTTTAATGAAGTGTTAAAACGATTAAAAAATGTAAGCCTGAATGTTTCAAGTAGATGTTTTTACTTAATAGAAGCCCCCAATGTACCCCTTCTTAGTTCCTCCACCAACTGAAATATCTGATTCCTTTAACACTTCATCCCAACCTAAGTTATCAGAAGGCAGATGGAATAGATAAACTGTCTAAGAATGCTGGAGCTCCTAAAAGTATGCCCTCAAGAAGAGTAAATATGTACTGAAAGGAAGACATGAGGGGAAATGAGACCAGACTTGGATAGGGGGTCTGTTTTGGGACCAAGTACAGAGTAGGCATCATGAGCTCAGATTTTGGGGAGGGGGTGTCCTTGGGCGCTAAGCAGTCTGAGTTTTACAGCAAGGAGCCCAGAGCTCATATGGGAGAAATGACCCTGGCAGCAATCAGCAGGAATGACTGGTGCTATGGACTGGCCAGTGCTCTGTGTGGCCCACAGGGACAAAGACCAACTCTCTAATCACATTCTTAGCCTGAGGAAATCTATAAAGTATTTTCCATACTTTATCTGCTAAAAGGTTATTTCCTTCCATAAGCTTTGTCATTTACAGCTCCAAGCTATATAAACATTTTTGCTTAAGAGCTCTCCATAGTTCAGAACGAGTAAAACTCCTTTTTTCTTTTTTCCTTTCCTCGGGTTCCATATAAGTGAAATCCACAGCATCTCACTACCTGATACTCATCTCCTTTTTTTTTTTTTTTTAGAGACAGAGTCTTACTTTGTTACCCTCGGTAGAGTACCATGGCATCACAGCTCACGGCAAACTCCAGCTCTTAGGCTTAGGCGATTCTCTTGCCTCAGTCTCCTGAGCAGCTGGGACCACAGTGCCCACCACAACGCCCAGCTATTTTATATTGCAGCTTGGCCGGGGTGGGTTCAAACTTACCACCCTTGGTATACGGGGCCGGCGCCCTACTCACTGAGCCACAGGTGCCCCCAGTTGCTCATCTCCTTGTGTCATGTATATTCAAGGATTCTAGGTCAGGTTCAGTCAATATATCTTTTTTCACGTTTAGTATGTATAAAAAGTCCTTCAAGATTATATATACAAGCTTCCAAATGCCAAAGGATCCTTATCAGATTCAAATTGTATTTGTTCCTCATGAAATCCACGTGTTTCTCTACTACCAATGTTGGGAACATTAAACAGATACATGCTTTCAGAGGGTTTTCATAAATTTTTTTTTTTTTAAATCACAGTAATAGGCTCAGCACCTATAGAGCAGGTGGGTTCAAATCCAGTCTGGGCCTGCCAAACAATAAAGACAACTACAACCAAAAAATAGCTGGGCATTGTGGCAGGCGCCTGTAGTTCTTCCTAGCTACTTGGGAGGCTGAGGCAAGAGAATCACTTAAGCCAAAGAGTTCGAGGTTGCTGTGAGCTGTGATGCCACAGCACTCTACCCAGAGTGACAGCTTGAGACTCTGTCCCACCCAAAAAAAGAAAAAAAACCCATAGTAATAATACATGTACATCTTTCTTAAAGTGGTCCTGAAAGATTTATAATGAAAACCAGCAATCTCTGTTTCCCCAATTACACTCTGATTCCTGCTTTCAGGGGAAACCTCTTTTTTCTGGAACTTACCTCCCCTTTAAAAATAATATTCCATATATTACTTCTGGATATTCCACTTTTAGTTATTACCGGGGTAGCTAGCCTCCAAACAGTCCCTATCTCCTGGTATTTACACTTTTGTGCTGTTTGCTCCCTCAGTGTATTAGGGCTCAGTGTATTACATGGTCAACAAAATACAGCAGAAATAATGATATGGCACCTTTAAGAGTAGGTCATAAAAGGCACTGAAATTCCTTTTCTTTTCTTTCTTTTTTTTTTTTATTCCTTTTTTTTTTTTGCAACAGTGTCTCACTCTATCACCCTGGGTAGAGTGCCATGGCATCAAAGCTCACAATAACCTCAAACTCTTGGGCTTGAGCAATCCTCTTGTCTTAGTCTCCCATGTAGCTGGGACTATAGGTGACCACCACCACACCCAGCTAGTTTTTCTACTAGTAAAGATGGGTCTTCCTCTTACCCAGACTGGTCTCAAACTCCTGAGCTCAAGCAATCCACCTGCCTCAGGCTCCCAGAGTGCTAAAATTACATGCATGAACCACAACCCTAGCTGAAATTCCTCTTATTCTCTCTACTGGCTCACTTGCTCTAGGGCAGCAGTTCTCAACCTATGGGTCATGACTCCTTTGTAACAATGAAAATACATCCTGCATATCAGGTATTTACATTACAATTCATAACAGTAGCAAAATTACAGTTATGAAGTAGCTCACGGCATTAGGGGAAGCAAAATAACAAATCCTGAGGATAGGCTTGTATTAAAAAGAACTGAAGCCTCCTATTATAGCTACCTGATTGAGCTTGGAAGAGGAGTGTACAGTCTCAATCGGGCCTTCAGATAACTTTAACTTTAAAAAAAGCTTTAAGCTGTTTCTGAACTTATGACCCACAGCAACTATGAAATAAGTACCTACTAAGTCACTAAATTTTGGGTAATATGTTACATAGCAAAAGATAACTATTTTTTTGAGACAGAGCCTCAAGCTATCGCCCTGGGTAGAGTGCCGTAGCCTCACAGCTCACAGCAACTTCTAACTCCTAGGCTCAAGCAACTCTCCTGTCTCTGCCTCCCAAGCAGCTAGGATCACATGGCGCTTGCCACAACACCTGGCTATCCTTCGGTTGCAGCTGTCATTGCTGTTTGGTGGGCCTGGGCTGGATTCGAACCTGCCAGCTCAGGTGTATATGGCTGGTGCTGTAGCCACTTAAGCCACAGGCGCTGAGCCAAAAGATAACTATTATATCACTAATTTAATTCCTATTATGGAAGATTAGGAATTTGTCCTGACATCATCTTCATATACTACCCCATTCTTCTGATATAATTAGGCCAAATTTTGATTAAACTGATGTTAAGAATTACATTATGGCTCGGCGCCTATGGCTCAAGTGGCTAAGGCGCCAGCCACATACACCTAAGGTGGTGGGTTTGAATCCAGCCCGGGTCTGCCAAACAACAATGACAGCTGCAAACAAAAAATAGCGGGGCATTGTGGTAGGCGCCTGTAGTCCCAGATACTTGGGAGGTGGAGGCGGGAGACTCGCTTGAGCCCAGGAGTTGGAGGTTGCTGTGAGCT